TAGTCAACTCTTGGTTTCCAGCTGGCACCTGAAGTAGGTCCCACACTCCAGACAAAACCTTGTTAGTTATGAAATAAATAGTTTCCCAAAGGGTGGCATATGTGATATTTTACATATTTTATTGTTTCTTTTCGTTTATTGGTAACCCATCCATTTGAAAGACCCAAGCAGTCTCCTTTGTTCTGCATATGCTTCCCCCCTCCCTCTCTCTGTGTGTCTGTCTCAACTCTCAAGAAAATATAAGCTCTCTTTCTCTCTCTCTCTATATATATGTGTGTGTGCGTGTATATATATCAAGCCCAATGGATGTCTTTACCTTGTCTTAATTTGCAGTAATAAGCCAGCATCAACATGCAAGCTAGCTATCAAAGTAGGAGGGGCTGCCCGCTGTGGGATTAAGGTGAGCCCTAGCCTTTAGTCTCCAAACTTCTGCACAAAGTTTTTCTTTCAAATCTGTTATGCTTGTTGTTCCAATCAATGAATTAGTGTTTTTCATCTGCTTCTACAAGGTTGAATAATTTAAATATTGTCAAATACAATGGTGATGTCAACTAGATTGGAAAAAGAAAGAACAGAGTGAAATGTGATAAAAATGCCCTTATTTTTCACTTTTTTTAGGAAAAACATTGAAGAAACTCCCATAATAATAATGAAGAGTTGAGGAAAAGGGATGGAATTATGGAAATGATAAACCTTTTCCCTTCCTTTTTCCACTCTTAACCTTAGAGGTTAAAAATCCAAAATCAATTTTCATTTCTATTCTTAGCTTTGAAAGTAGTAAACAAAACACCTCCGACTTTAGAAATTAAACTTGTCGTAACAGAAAACAATGTGTGTTTAATATTAGTGACTCTTTCTTGACTTTTATAGAGAAGAGATTTTGGCAAGCTCTAGAATTTCCTTTAATCTCTTATTTTCTTGAGGATTTTGACAGTAAAATGCTTATATGAAGTCTGTTAGCTTTAAAGAATTATCTATATATCTGAACCAAATTTAAGGTGCATATTCAAATCCCACCCTTAAAGATCATTTGCTCCTATGATAATTGGTGAATTAAGAAATGCTACTTGGACACATAACTTGCCATCAAAATTTATGCTCGTTTAAATCGATTGTGATAGTGTCATGATTCTTTATATTAATTGGCGACCCATGAGTGACAGAAAGCTTTCAACAACCTCAAGGGCTAAACCTCCCTGCCATTTCTTCAACTATTATCTGTTGTTTGTTTGGATTTACTTCAACTATTGTCCCCAATAGAACATACAATTACTCATTTTTGCATTAGATGTTCCACACAATACTGTACTGTTTGTTTCCTGTTATATAACTACTCTTCATCCACATTGATGCATTACAGCTAAAAGTTGCAAGATGTGATTAGATAGCAGAAAAGAGGCATTATTTTATCCACTTTGAATTAAATTCTATATTGCTCTGGATGATACAAGATACACATTAAGTTGTGAAGTCACGTTGTGCAGAAGTTGTTTAAATAGTCATTTTCCTGTCAACAATCAGTGATTCAGTATAGTTCATTGGTTTTCTTGTTTTAAGAAGTATTAGTTAGGTATGCCATATACTTTTTGAGGTTAAATGTTCATTCTTTTTATCATAACCTGATATCATACATGATGTAATAGGAGAAACTAAGCTCATTAAAAGAAAGGGTTTTGAACTCACTGGGACAATGCCTGACATCCCAACGTCTCCCGGTTTTGATGAAATTGTGGTGGGATTTGAGGATGAAACTGAAAACATAACACGCCTGCTGATTAGAGGACCAAAAGAGCTAGATGTTATATCGATTACTGGTATGGCTGGGCTCGGGAAGACAACTCTGGCCAGAAAGGTGTTTTGCCATAAACCTGTTATTGATTGGTTTCATTTTCGGGCATGGTGCTGTGTCTCTCATGAATATGATAAGAAGCGTGTATTCCATGAAATTTTTAGTCAAGTTGCAGACGTTATGAGTGAGGATGATACAGATGAAGTGCTGCTTGAAATTTTAAAGAAAAAGTGCAAAGATGAGCAAAGCTGGGTTGATACTGCTGAAGCACTACGCAGGGCCCTACGGGGGAAGTGTAAAGGCCACAAGATTAGGGATGATACGACTGAAGTGTTGTATGAAAGTTTAATAAAAATAAGCGAAGATGATAACAGCTGGAAAAAGATATCTAGTACACTGCACGGAAGCATAATGGAGAAGTGTGAAAACACCAAGAATTGGGATGATATTGCTAAGCCGTTGTATGAAAGCTTAATTGTGAATTTTGAAGACAATAATGTCAGAGATGATGCCACTGAAATGTCTCCCAAATTCCGAGTGGAAAGGCACAAAGACATTCAGATGTGGGAAGAAATAACAAGTGCGATAAGCCAAAGCAAAATTGTAGACAAAAAAGACATTAGGAGAACAGATGATGAAGTTCGGAAGTTGTTCAAAAGCCTACAGGATCTAGCTGAGGTGTTGTTCAAAAACATAAATGAAAAGTGCCAAGAGAATGATAGTTGGAAAGAAATGCTGGAAACATTATTCAAAAGCTTAAATGATATAGTTGAAACGTTGCTCATAAGCTTAAATAAGAAATGCAAAGGCAGTAAAAGCTGGGATGACAACATAGCTGAGAAGCTACGCAAGAAACTGCTAGGACAAAGATACCTCATTGTCTTGGATGATGTTTGGAGAAAAGAAGCATGGGATGAGTTAAGTAGAGCTTTTCCCTTGGGCGCAGAAGGAAGCAGATTCATCTTAACAAGTAGAGAATATGGTGTTGGAAAATATGCCAGGTCTGGTGCTGATCCCCATTGTCTTCGTTTTTTCACTACTAAAGAGAGCCAAGATTTACTACAGTTAAAGCTATCTAAAGAGAATGTTGGGCATCCAGAGTTAAAGGAATTTGGGAGACAGATAGCAGAAAGATGTGGTGGAGTACCTTTGGTGGTTGTTTTGGTAGCTGGTATTCTACAAAAAAAGATTGAAGAAAAATACTTCTCGTGGAATGAATTTCTTCAAAGTTTAAGCTCACATATCAGGGGAGATGAATCTCGGAGCATGGATGTAATAGCATTGAGTTACAAGCATTTACCTGAGCATTTAAAGCCATGCCTTCTTTACTTTGGGGCATTCCCAGAGGACTATGAAATTCCAGTCTCCAAATTGATACAGCTGTGGATGGCTGAAGAGTTTGTGAAACAAATAGAAAAGAAGGTGCCGGAGGATGAAGCAGAGGACTACCTGAATCACCTAATTGGTAGTAACCTAATAATGGTTTCCACCAGGGGATACAATGGCAGTGTCAGAACATGCCGTATTCATGATCTGGTAGGTAGCTTTTGTCTGACAAAAGCCAAGAAAGATAAATTCTTGATGCAAACAGACAGTGAACAATCCAGTCCACATTCGGAATTGACTTCTACTGCTTATAAGGAATGATAAATATCTTTCTCCTGATTCAGCTATGTCACTTAATCCTAGTCTTGGCACGCTTTTTTGCTTTTCATCAGATAATCCTAACCTCTTTTCATGGGATGTGGATCCTTCCTCTGGTTTATGGGTAGCTAGCACATTCAAACTTGTGAGAGTACTGGACTTGGAGTCCGTATTTGTGGGCAAATCATTTTTGTCCATGGTGGAGTTTCTCCTTTGTTTAAGGTACCTTGCTGTTTGTCTAAGAGGTTGGGGTTCAGTTCCACAGCCATCTCTAGAGCATCTTCACCATCTAGAAACATTCAAGGTGAAATCAAATAAGGATTTGCATTTACCATTCATGATTTGGAATTTAGAGGGTTTGAGACATTTGCATATAGATCACTATTGTCATTGGTGCCTCGACATGAGAAATTCTTTTCGTATACCCACAAAGCCTTTAAATCTCCAAACCGTTTCCATCCCGGTCCTATTCACCTCACGCATGGATGAGCAACTGTTGAGGAAGCTTCCTCATCTCAAAAAACTTAGATGCAGATTTTCAATGTCATGGTATAGGAATTGCTATAGATTCCCTGAGTTGGGATTTCTTGATCAACTTGAATCTCTGGAAGCATGTTACGGCAGTGACAATCTGAATGCACCAATTCTCTCTGCATTTGACTTTCCACCAAGTCTCAAGGAATTGACACTCCACAAGTTTCGCCTGCCATGGGATAGCATTTCAGTAATTGCCAAGCTGCCCCGTCTTGAGTCTCTTGAACTGTTCTCAGCATTTGATGGTGCGCAATGGGATGTGGAGGAAGGGAACTTTCGCAAACTCAAGTTCTTGAGAATATGTGAATCTAGGATTGTGAGATGGAATGCCACTGCTGAATCTTTTCCCAAACTTGAGCGACTGGTTTTGGCAAAATGCAGGCGTCTTGAAGAGGTGCCATCTGATTTCCAAGATATTATTACTCTACAAGTAATTGAAATTGATCAATGCAACAGCCCTGTCGTTCGCTCAGTCAAGAAAATTCGGGAAGGCATGGAGGTACTGGGAAAAGAGAACCTAAATGTTCGCGTACTGAATTCTGATTCGCCATTTTTTGGATTTTTGTGGCCCGGTAGCAAATTTTAAAACCAAACCATAAGAATTTTACTAACCTACTATCTCCAAAATCCAAAAAAAAAAAAAAAAAAAAAAAAAAAAAAATCTTGAAACTACTTGAATAATGGCTACCTGTTGGGTTGCTGCTAGGAATGCAAGTAGAATGATCTGTTAAGGTGGGAAGAATCAATTTCTCAAGCAGTATTGGTGGTGAACTGGTAAATGGTACAAGTTTCAGGTTATCTCTGCATATTCAGGACTTGAGACATCATCTGTGTTGTTGGGAAACAAAACGGTTTTGCAATGCAGTATGTTCAATTAATAAGGTCGTAATTATTAGGAGAGAGGAGTGATGGAAAAAACGGATGAATTTCAAAATTAATTGGAATTTTTTTTTTAATTTCTTAAATAGTTGTCATAATTAAATATTGGACCCTTTAAAAATTGAGGTTATGTGCTCTTGGACATTTTGCACAGCCCAAAATCCGGCCCTGTTCTGATCTGGAACTAGGAAAGTGTAAGTAAAATAGATACTTCTCTATTATCTATACTCATCTCTTCTCTTCTGTTTTCCGTTGCACATCCCTTTTCACCCAAATGATGGTTTCTGTAATTTCTTTCTTCTTTATTTTTGTCAGGGTACTTGTAACAGGCTCTGCAAACTGGATTTCTTGAATGGTTTCTCTTCAAATTGATGAGCTCAGTCAATCTGCTACAGATGATATTCTGCATCAAGGAAAGACATGAAACTTCCACTTCTGGTTTGGTACTTTGTGCTTCAGTGACTTCAAACCTTTCAAGTATTATAACTTATAAGGTTTGTGTTTGTCATTTGAGACATTTATGTTCTGTGTTTTTAAGGATCCATGGAATAAGTGATCAAGTTCCCATAAAACATTATGTGTAAATAGACTGCTCCCATGCACTCCCACATTTGAGTAGGGATCTCATCACATAATTAAGTGCTCATTACTATCAAACTTTCTGTTTATTGGGATTTTAGTGTGTATTCATTGTTAAAGATGGAACATAGATGAATATGAAAACTATTCATTTAAGTTGAATTACATGTTTATGCATGCATTCATATATAATCCTTGTAACCTTGTTCTTCATTCATTCATCTTTCTAAATCTAAATAAAATATTAAATGATCTGTCAAGCGATGCAAAACCGCCTAGCATGACTTCTCCCTTTAGAGGGGTGCATTAAATGTACCCTCTCCTTTATATGGCAGTCACATTAAGTGGTTCCAACCTTGTAGTATTACTTTATATTAATCGGAAAACGAAAATTATGAAGACAAAATGCTTTCCTTAGAAATATTTCATAAGTTTGATGAATTGATGACAAGAATTGAACTTGTGAACGTTCTTGTTTATTTAGTCAAAACTTTGATTATCAACACAAAACTCACTTATTTGGCTAAGCAAAAATGCAGATTAAACCCGGATATTTTAGGGTGGAGTGAATAAACCTCAACACCTCTCATTCTTTATTTTGTCAGTGCATTTGTAATTGACAGTGAAAGGTGGATTTCTTGAATGGTTTCTGTTCAAATTGATAAGCACAGTTTTTCTACTACTGATGATGTTCTGCGTCAAGGAAGGACAGTGAAACTTTCATTTCTGGTTTTTAACTTTGGACCTTTCCAAGTATTAATGTTGTATTTGTGTCATGTTAGACTTTTGTGTTTGTATTTATTAAGGATTCAGTGATCAGGCTCACAGGAAATGCTATTTTTACAGTTGACTTTGAGTTTATGATTTCTGTTTGGATTATATATATATATGTGACAAGGGCTCTATCTCACTACCAGAAATCTCCAGAGTCTCTGGCTGTGCCACCTGAGGGTCCAAAATCGGGCTACTTAGTTCTTCAAGATGAGGAATCTGAAAGGTACACCTGCTTTGGCCTCTGCAAAAGAAGTGATCTTTAAGACTTACCTTTCCCTCAGAAGAAGAGGCTCATGGTTACTTATATCCAAAGTTCTGGTGAAACAACATATGTACATCGTGATCCTGTTCTTCTCATTCCTGTTCTTGGTCACCCACTGTCTTCAAACCGCTACTATGCAATAAAGCCCGATGGGACGCACAAAGGGTATGCACTGTTTTTAATTCTTAGCATTGAATTGAAGCTAACAGATTAATTGATGAATAATTTATTATTAATTGTTTGTTGCAGTGAAGCATTTACTTGTTCAACAGAGGAAGACAAGACCACTTGCTGTTTCTGGAGGTGTGTTAAGGATGTTAGACCGAAACCATTGGATCCACACAACATGTATCAGCAGTTTGAGGTTTCTGTTCGCGTGTCGTGTTGCAATAATAGCAAAGGTAGCTTTGATGCCAAGTCCATGGCACCTGATGGTTTCCCTCCTTACTTTTTGAGGAGGAAAGGTGGGGGAATTGAAGCCAAAACTTGTAAAAACTACAGATTGGAAGAAGCTTTAGGCCTTGATGTTTCATTGCGTAAGCGCCTTCCAGAGTTAAATATCCCTCCATCAGAAGAAGCTGTTGTTGTAGGGAAGTGGTATTGTCCTTTCGTGTTCATCAAGGACGGAACGCTTAAGGATCATATGGAAAGATCAGCGTTCTACGAGATGACACTCGAGCAGAGATGGGAGCAAATCTTCACTTGCCAGAATAATGACAGAAATGAAGGAATTAGCAGTGTACTAGTGGATACTGTTCTTGACAAAGAAGTACTTATTTCTGGCAGCAAAGCGAAATGGGACGAAAGTATTGAGAACGGGGTGATATGGTTTAAACGGTTCAACGCAGAAACAGAAGAAACAAGTGTGGGGTTGAGGCAAGAAATTGTTGAGCAGATGAAATGGGAGCAAGAAAGAGGAGGATGGTCAGGTGGGGAGAAGGAATTGAAGGTGAAAAGAAGAGAAGAGTATGGAGAGTTTGGTGGGTGGAGAGAATTTTGTTGCTATATATTGGTGGAGAGGTTTGTGTTGAAAAGAATGGATGGAAGTTTGGTGATAACATACAGTTTCAGGCACAGTGACAAGATTAAGAGCATATGGATGTAACACTAAGCTTATATTATAATTTACTTGTTCATTTGCATGTCCTAAACACAGTTAATTAAATTCACTTCTTTGCTGTAAATGCAGTCATTACAAGTATCTCGGTATGTATGTGATGACAATTATGTTTTTTTGGGTGTGACTTAAAGTTTCTACTATTGAATACTGTAATGATTAACCCTCTAACACTTCTGATCTAAGGTTGTGGCAACTGGTTTGAAGATTTAAAATTATATTGCTTCATGCCCATAATACTTTAATTTGTGATAAATAGTAGCACCAAACCATAACTACCTACTATATATACATACTGCAGGCTCCGTGCTAATTAAGAGCACGCAAACCCTAAACCTCCCCCCCCCCCTCCCCCCAAATATATATAGATGGGTTCAACTGAGAACAGTTTCCTACTTAAAGACGTGAGAACAAATCCAAATCATTCATCAAATAAATATTAAAGGTCATGATTTACCGTACCCTTTTATCTTCTTCCATTTAAATTAGAATTAATTCACACAAGTGATATAGTAATTGGGAAATGATTTTTAATTCTATTCACTAGTACAAAAACACTTTCTGAGTCACCTATAAAACACTTTCCGAGTCACCTGTACAGGTGACTCGGATTCCAGAGCCTCTGAAAGTGTTTAGTTTTCCGAAGCACCCGTATAGGGTGTGGCGGAAAGCTAAATAAGCATTTTTTATTTTTTTTAATAGACTTTCCGAGGCACCTGTTGTGTCACAGGTGCCTCGAAAAGAAATTTAATATTTTATTATTAAATACTATCCGCGGCACCCACGCACAGGTGGGTGTCGCGGAAAGTCTTTTATTTTTTTTTTTACAATATATATATATATATATATATATATATATATATATAATTTTTTTAAAAAAATTAAAGACTTTCCAATAAAGACTTTCCAAGACACCTGCAACAGAGCACGATTTTAATATATATATATATATATATATATATATATATATATATATATATATATTATAAGTAACTAATTTTTTAAAGGGAAAATGGCACTTCTTCGCCCTAAGTTATATACTTATAGCACTTTCTCCTCCTGAATTATTCAAGTGGCTGTTTTTCCCCCTAAAATGTTAAATGGACATATTTACCCTTAAAATAAATATTTCATTTATTTTTCTTCTCCAACAAATTATGACAATAATTTGGTTCAAACCAAACAAACACTATAGCAACCAAACCGAAATATTTCAATTACAATTTAGAATCGAAACTCGATATTTAGAGTTTATTAAAATCGTGAACTGGAACAGACGATTCATGTTCCGAACTGAAAAAATAAAATACATTTATTGTTGAATTTAGACTATTTAAAATAAAAAATAAAATTTTAAAATAAAGACGGTTCAAAATCGCGAACCGGATCCAGAATCGCCGATTCACGGTTCAAGATCCAATTTTTTTTATTCATAATTTTAATAAATTGAAATCCAAATATTAGGTTCTAGATCTGAATCATAACCGGAAACTTTTAATTCAATTGCTATAGTGTCCGGTTCAGTTTGATCTGAACCATGGTCATCCCTACGTATACGCGATAATTTGTTGGAGAAGTAAAATAAATAAAATGTTTACTTTAAGGGTAGAAATGTCAATTTAATATATCAGGGGGGAAAAACTACCACTTTTAGAATAATTGAGGGGGCTAATGTGCTTACCTAAATAATTAAGGGGGAGAAATGACTATAAGTATATAACTCAGGGAGAAAAAGTGTCATTTTCCCTTTTTTAAAAACAATAAATAAACTCTCACTTTTACAACACAAATACATATAAATTATTCATAGCCAATGATTTCCAAACGGATAAATTAATAGAAAAAGAAGTGACAAAGAAGAGAGAAAAATGAAGATTGCCCCCATCTTGCTATCACCCATCTCCGTATGCTGTTACTCCTATATCACCTTAATCTTTCATTGTATATACCTGCCTGGTGTATAAACACAACACAGGTCATATAATCAAAGCAGTTGTGAAGAAGAATGCAAGGGAGAAGTATAATAAGACTGAAAATTCTAAAAGAAAAGCTCTCAGGCATCCACATACCTGGTACATCAATTATACATTGATCAGACATCACCAGCACCTGAAATATTACTTAATTAGAAGTTTATTCTGGGCATTTTGTCATTTTGAATTTAAGATTCAAATTTGAGCATGAATAAAGAGATTTAAACCCTAAGATCGATCTCAATTCACAGTTTTTCTCTCCATCCTACCTTAATTTTAGGAGGCGAACTATGAATTGGGATAGGTCTTAGAGCTTAAATGTTTTTATTCATGCTCAAATTGAGATTTTAATTTGGAAAGGACGAAAATAACCTTAATAATTTCATATTTTGGCATGTCTTAAACAAAGGGGTGACCAGGACTATGTGGTCTAATGGTATCCGGGTTGGACTTCCATTTGGAAGATTATGAGTTCGAGCCTCAGTGGAGGCGTTATTGGTTCTTTGTGTTTCAGTAGGTTGAGAAAGTATATGAACAGATACTACAATGTAATAGAACCAGTAGCTTTCAAAAAAAAAAGCGTGATGAACTTTGGTACTAAAACAATAATCGTGGATGAAAATTGGTAAAAATTAAATATATAGATCAAAACTGTCATTTTGCTAATAGTCGTGAGACCAAATTTGATATTTGCTCATTTTTTATTATATATGCTAGAATTGCAACAAAAAATTCGATCACATCATATGTGCACACACATAGACGCATAGGGCAAATTATGTTGTGCATCCGTATGCATCATGCATGGTGCATACGGATGCAAAAACGATGTTGTTTTATTAAAAACGCATGTCTCACTTTAAAAAAAATCAGTTTCGATTCCCAGCAACAACATTATATTGTGCATAATTTGAATTAAAATTCCAGAATCGATGAACTAAAATTCCAGAATCTATGAACTAAAATTCCAGAATCTATGAATAAAAATTCAAGAATGAATGAACTAAAAATCCATAATGAATGAACTAATATCCAGCATGAATGAAAAAAAAAAATCAGTTTCGATTCACGTCTAAATATCCATGATCAATGAACTAAAATTCCAGAATCTATGAATTAAAATTCCAGAATCTATGAATCGAAACTGATTTTTTTTTAAATGGGATGCACGTTTTTAATAAAACGACGTCGTTTTTGCATCCGTATGCACCATGTATGGTGCATACGGATGCACAGCATAACGATCCGACGCATAATTAGTTGCACACACCATACCTCATCCACAACTGTCGCGAAGAATACGGGGAATACCCCACAAATAATTTTTTTTTTTTTTTTTTTTTTTAAATCTCTCCTGAACATAAACTCGCCCCAAACCAATCTATACTCTATATAAAAACAAAATCATGAACTTTAACTTACAGCTCAATTCCTAAAAAAGTTTTCTTTTTAATAAAAATATATTATTTTCTACTTTCATATTCGTACTATAATTGTAGGTTAAAATTTCTATTCTAATATTATAAAATAGTGTAATAGAATTCCTATTCTAATCTATACTATCTATACTATATATATAAAAATCATATCCTAAACTTTAACTTCCGACCCAATTCCTAGAAAAATCTATCTTTCTAATAAAATATTCTTTTTTACTTTCCTATTCGTACTATTATTCTAGGTTAAAATTCCTATTCTAATATTATAAAATAGTGTAATGCAATTCTTATTCTAGTCTATATTATCTATACTATCTATACTATATATACTATATATATACAAACAAAATCCTGAACTTTAACTTCCCGCCCAATTCCTAAAAAATCTTTCATTCTAATAAAATATAGTATTTTCTACTTTCATATTCGTACTATATCTATTCTAATATTATAAAATAGTGTAATACAATTCCTATTATAATCTATACTCACTATATATAAAAATAAAATCCTGAACTTTAATTTCCCGCCCAATTCCTAAAAAATCTCTCTTCCTAATAAAAATATATTGTTTTCTACTTTCCTATTCGTACTATAATTTTTGGTTAAATTTTCTATTCTAATATTATAAATTAGTGTAATACAATTCTTATTCTAATCCATATCTATACTATCTATACTATCTATACTATATATAAAAACAAGATCCTGAACTTCAACTTCCCGCCCAATTCTTAAAAAATATCACTTTCTTATAAAAATAAATTATTTTCTACTTTTCTATTCGTACTATAATTCTAGGTTAAAATCCCTATTCTAATCTATACTTCTATACTATATATAAAAAGAAAATCCTAAACTTTAACTTCCCGCCCAATTTCTAAAAAATCTGGCTTTCTAATAAAATTTATTATTTTCTACTTTCCTATTCGTATTATAATTCTATGTTAAAATTCCTATTTTAATATTATTATAAAATAGTGTAATACAATTACTAATAGAATATAAACCCAGTTAAAGTAAAACTCAATCTCCAACTTCATGTTGTACTCAAACACTCCTAAATCACCTATAAATATAGCTCAAAACCTAACATTCCATCACCAAGACTCAAACAGAAGATTGAGGAAGAGCAATTTGGAGCTTGACTTTTCAATTAGGTAAAATTTATATTCTCATATTTTTCTTTATCAGACAAGCCTTTATCTGCACAATACGATTGCAACGACCGGTTCGTTAGAGTGGTATTTTCATCGTCCATCGAAAATCAATCATTCCTAAAGATTAATGCTCCATTCAGCAACTATACTGGCGGTAGCTTTATATCGTCAATTGTTGCCGGAAATTATCCATCACTTCACTATTCTCAGTGTTTTCATATATTAATTTTATTTATAATAAAAAAGAGAAAAAATGAATAATATAATTTTTTTGAAACAAGGTGCGTCTACCTGTAACGTATTACTGTAATATGTGTTATTACCTTCTGTATTATTTAATGGTTAATAAATTTGTTGGATCTATTATAAATTAATAACAATATAATGAAGTTACGTTAAATAATACCAGATTCAAAAATTAAAAGAGATTACCTATATCAAATATATATATAACATGGCTAATTTCGTTGTTTATTTAAGACCGTATTGGTTATTTCATTGAATATTACTAGTTAGACAAAAATTTGTGTGAGACAAAAA